TGCTTATTAGTACGGTTGAACTGGATCATCGAAGGTCAGAAGCAAAGACATTGGTTAATAGAATGGGATTAAATACATAAAGGATATTTGTGTTGTTTAACATTTAATTATTGCAGGTTTGCGTCATATTCTGAGTTGCCTTATTTTTATAAATTTTGAGGAATACTGAATCTGAGTGTTTTTTGTGTGTGAGTGAGATGAATTAATGCATATTCAAATTTATTTTAGAACTACAGTAACATCTTCTGATTTCTCTCAACATGGGGACAGGAGAGCTGTCAATCAATAAATTGGAGGAAAAAAAGTAACTTGCGTATTTGTAAAAGTAACTCAGATATTCTCTTGTAAATTAAAAAGTAATGCGTTACTTTACTAGTTACTTGAAAAAAGTAATCTGATTAAGTAACCTTGTAATCTTGTAATGCGTTACCCCCAACACTGGTCATCAACACCATTTTTTCCCCAAATCTGACCAACAAGAACATCATAGCACATAAGCACATATTTTATTCCAATTCTCTTTGAGAATTTCCATAATATAACAATGTAAGAATCCACCCGACGGCCCAAAATTTGGAGTCCAGCGGCCTGGTTGAAGGTTGAATGCGTGTTCGGTCTTTTACTTGCACCTCTGAATTTATCAGGATTTAGTTTCAATTTTAGTCTAGCTCCGTGTTCAATCTGACTCCAATTTCAAGTGATCATTAAATTTAGGCAATGTTTCTAATTAAAAACCGATCACAAATGTCGATTATGTATTAATTTAGATATTTGATTATTCCGAACATCCTGTACTTTCAGTTATTCGTTCATTAGGGACCCAGTATCGCACAGAGAACTTACGCTGGCCGAACACAGTCTCACAAACACAAACTCGTCAGTTCTACTACTAGACTCCACTTTAATTTACTAGAAATAATTTCAGAGTAAGTCAGAATAAAATTTAATGTAACAGTTTATTATCAGTCAGGTAAATATGTATTATGCCAATTACATAGTCAATTCAAAGATATCAAATCAATACAAGACATCACATTCTCAAAGATGAGTCTACGAGTAAAAAGTGCATACCTCACCTTGGAAAATACATAGTATGGAGTGCAGAGACACACACCACACTACGGGCTTTCTGGCTACAGAATCGCGACGTAATGTTTTGCCACTTCGCTTAAATACCCAGACCAGAACAAAGAAATCTTCAAATCAGTTGTAAAAGCAAAAAAATACCTTTTGGTTTGTTTAGGATCTTGTAACCCAAAAGGTCACACACCTAGTTTTGGGGATGCAAACACATGTTATCAAAAGATCTTTATTGGGGCATCTCCCACATCAGAAGAACAGGTTTTGTTTTCTTTATTCTTGCCTGTTCTGTTGATGCGAGAGTGAAACCACCTTTACAATAATAATATAATCCATCAATATTTAGCAGTCTAAGCACTGAAGGTTTTCTGACCCAGATGTGTGTGGGCATCAGATACCATAAACTGTAGAGATCGCAAATTTGTGGGATGGTTCTAAATCCACCCCACAACTCAGACATACCCACACATATCCGCCAGACGTGAACCATTAGGGCTTAAATCAATATTCTTTTGTTTCCTTTGGATTTATAACTGTTTTGTAGAGAATAACTCCAGTAATTCAATTATTAGCCCCTGGCCATTTTTTTTCTCACCATTTTGAATTTTCTGGGGGGGAAAAAAACAACAACACTTTTTCAAACTTCTTTTACAACGTCTTGGACCATCCCAAGATCCTCATGACAAAAAGATAACAAAATAATTATTAATTAAATAATTAATAATAATGTTTAGATAGAATCAATTAAAGGGGTCATATGACGTTGCTAAAAAATAACATTATTTTGTGTATTTGGTGTAATGAAATGTGTTTATGCAGTTTAAGGTTAAAAAAAAAACATTATTTTCCACATACTGTACATTATTGTTGCTCCTCTATGCCCCGCCTTTCTGAAACGTGTTGATTTTTACAAAGCTCATCGGTCTGAAAAGCGAGGTGTGCTGTGATTGGCCAGCTATCCAGTGCGTTGTGATTGGCCGAATACCTCAAGCGTGTGATGGAAATGTTACGCCCCTTGCCATATTGTGATGCCTTGTCCGGCCGGAGCGACGAGACAAAAGCATTAAAACCCATTATAAACGAAGCATTTGCTGCATCCAGTGGGGACATAATTACGGATTATAATGACTTGTACTGTCTTTTTACGCATTGCGTCGCATCGCGCCGTGTAAACATAAAACCATGTCTGCATTTGTGATCGGAGAAATGACAAACAACAAGTGCTACTCTACACTGC